TTTTTTTTTTTTTTTTGAGACAGGAGTCTCAAGCTGTTGCCCTGGGTAGAGTGTCAAGGCATTGTTATAGCTCACAGCAACCTCCAACTCTTGGGCTCAAGTGGTCCTCCTGCCTCAGTTTTTCTATTTTTAGTAGAGACAGGGTCGCTCTTGCTCAGGCTGGTCTGGAGCTAGTGAGCTCAAGCAATCCATCTGCCTCAGCCTCCCAGAGTGTTAGGATTACAGGTACGAGCCACCACCCCTGACCCTGTGCTTTCATTTTTGAAGGAATGAACTGAATAAGAAAGTGTGGTCTCCTACCTGGGCTTTGAAATCTAATTGAGAAATGAGGATCTCCAAATTCCAAGTTTGGCAAAGTCTAAACTGAAGAAAGAAAAGTGAATAGTGAAACACGAGAAATATTTAACCTATATGAAAACTATTTGAAATAATTTCTTTTGGGAAGAGTGATAGTTAGGTCCTTCAAAATATGATAAAGGCAGGCTAGGTGCCTGTGGCTCAAGTGGCTAAGGCACCAGCCACATACACCTAAGGTGGCAGATTTGAATCCAGCCCGGGCCCACCAAACAACAACAATGGCTGTAACCAAAAACATAGCCAGGGGTTGTGGCGAGCGCCTGTGGTCCCAGCTACTTGGGAGGCTGAGGCAGGAGACTCACTTGAGCCCAGGAGTTGGAGGTTGCTGTGAGCTGTGATGCCATAGCCCTCTACCCAGGGGGACAGCTTGAGGCTCTGTCTCAAAAAAAAAAAGAAAATATGATAAAGGCAGGGACTTGTCAGTGGTGAAGAACTTAATTACTGAGGGAGCCTGGGTATAACTTGTTCAGTATAAAGGCTCTCTGCTGTGGGGTTTTGGACTCATTCAATGCATTCATTACCAGAGGTATAACTCTACTTCAGGTATTCTGAATAACAATAGGGACTGGTCATCTAGTGCCTACTATGTGTCAGGCTCTGAAGACCATTTTAGTTTCCATCTTAATCTTTACAAAAACCCCTTTTTTAGCCAGGGGTGGTGGTGTGGTGGTTCACACCTGTAATCCTAGCACTTTGGGGGCCTGAGGCTGGTGGATTGCTTGAGCTCAGGAGTTTAAGATCATCAGCCTGAGCAAAAGTGAGACACCGTTTCTACTAAAAATAGAAAAACGAGCTGCGTGTTGTTATGGGCATCTATAGTCCTAGCTGCTTGGGAGGCTGAGGCAAGAGGATAGGTTAAGCCCAAGAGTTTGAGGATGCTGTGACCTATGACTCCACAGCACTCTACCCAGGGTGGCAGAATGAGAGTCTATCTCAAAAAAGCCCCATTTTGGCTCAGCGCCTATAGCTCAACCAGCTAAGGCGCCAGCCACGTACACCTAAGGTGGTGGGTTCAAATCCCCAGCCCGGACCCGCCAAACAACAATGACGGCTGCAACCAAAAAATAGCCGGGCGTTGTGGCGGGCGCCTGTAGTCCCAGCTACTTGGGAGGCAGAGGCAGGAGACTCGCTTGAGCCCAGGAGTTGGAGGTTGCTGTGAGCTGTGATGCCATGGTACTCTACCCAGGGGAACAGCTTGAGACTCTGCCTCAAAAAAAAAAAAAAAGCCCCGTTTTACAAATGGGAAACTGAGGAGGAATGCAGTTAAGTAACTTGCCTAAGTATACATAAAATGGGGCTAGAATTTGAACCTAGGCCTGTCTGACTTCAAAACCCATACTCTTCCCACTACACTTCAGACTCTTTGGCAAGGCTTAGTGGCAAAACTGTAGTGTGCAAAATTTTTCTACCAACTAAAAGTTTTTTTGTCAGTCCCTTCCACAATTTCAAATTGTATAATGATGATAAAGTTGATGGTGGTTCCTAACTCTGTGGATTTGAGTTAATTTGTGTTGTTTATATTAATTTGTATGGTTATATAGGCTTTTAATATTTTCATTGAACTTTTTGGAGTTAAAAATCATAATTTAAATTGCTGTTTTAAGTGATCAATCATGGTATGTATTATAGGGAGCATGGGACTTGAGAGAATGGTCTTTGGGACTTTGGCATTGTGTGTAGTAAAAATAGATGACACTAACTTTTTTTTCTGTGTATAATGGCTAAATATCTCTGAAGTTGTTCTCTTTCATTTTGCTCAGGAAGGAACCTCCCCTTCCCTGAAATGGGGAGTCAAGAGTGGTGTCATGGTGACCCTATGTGATGTACGTGGAACTTTTTAAACATCAGTTGTCCTGTGGACTTGAATGTTGCTTCTTTCTCTTCTTCCCCTTGACTTTGTGTTGATCAGAGCCAAAGGACTCTCAATATCCTAATCTGCACAATCTTGGCTTCCTCATATAATTTGTAGGTTTGAGCCCGGGAACTATCCTAATATGTAGTAGCCCCTTCCTTAGATGCCTAGGTACTGAGATGAAAAGCCATGACTGTCACCATACTGTGAGGGTAGGGAAAAAATAGCATTTTTATGAATCAAAGGAAGAAGTCCACAAAATGGCAGCGGGTGGTTTGGCTGTGTCTTGAAAGAATGTACTCAGCATTTCTTTTCTTTTTCTTTCTTTCTTTCTTTTTTTTTTTTTGAGATAGAGTCTCATTCTTTTGTCCTCAGTAGAGTGTTGTGGTGTCACAGCTCACAGAAACCTCAAACTTGGCTCGGCGCCTATGGCTCAAGTGGCTAAGGTGCCAGCCACGTACACCTAAGGTGGTGGGTTTGAATCCAACCCGGGCCCGCCAAAGCAACAACGACGGCTGCAACCAAAAA